AGTCCATTATTGGTTGAGTTTATGACCTCTGAGTCCATTATTGGTTGTTGCTTCAAAGGCTTCTGTGTGAATCTTCTCTATTTTACAATCACACGTCAGTACACGAGGCCGTTTAATTCAGGATATTTATACACTTTTCATGAAGTATCAAGTTATTGTCTGGACAGACACATTTTGTGAAAAAAGATCACTACATTTAGAATAAAATTTTTTTTAATTTACACGCAACTTCAAAATCAGCTTTTATTTGATTGTCCAAGGAGCAACATTCACACACACTGAATATGAATGTACTTTTACTTTATATAGCGAGTAACTTCTCTCATTCAACAGTTTATCATATGCAACAAGTTAAAAACAGTATTTACACAAAGTATTTCATCATTTGTAATAGTAAAACGTATGAACTTGTGCATAACATTATTTTCAAACAATCGTCTTAATTTAAAACTTGGGCATTTGTTGGTGTGAAAACTGCTTTTCTGCCAGGTCTTTAATTTAATTTCAGACTTGTCATTCACACATGGTACATGTGTACAGGGTCCCAGAAACCTCTTGTTAACGACCCGTTTCATAAAAGAGGACCTGAACTGTGAAGAAAGTCGTCCCAGTCCCAGAGTCCAGTCGGTTCTGTTCAGAGGAACGGATCCAAACTGGTGCAGCCGGAGGATCAAGAGTTTCCACCAGTCGCTGCTCTTCCTCGCACCAGTTATCAAAATTAATTCATACTTTGGCCACATACACACATTTTTCAATAAACTACCAGGTATTAATTTTAAAATTCTTTATTTTAAAATTTGCATTAAAAAAAAAGGATATAAGTTCTGAATTTACTAAAAAACACAAATTTTCAACTGATTAATTTTTTATTTTTGCAACAATTTATCCTAACGTGTATATTTAAAAGGACTGGCACCAAACTGACACTAGACATTTACTTATAAACGAATAGTCACTGAAATAAATCAACACTTTTGTTCATTAATGACCAAACGTATCGTTTTATGTCCGAATGTGCAACGAGCCTAAAGAGGATTTATAGTAAACCACCACCTTTATCGTCTTTTGATGGTACAAGACTTCAGGTTATTGATTTGCAGATTAATCGCTTCCTGTTGTAGCAGGGACACACACACACACACACACACACACACACACACACACACACACACACACACACATACACACACACACACACACACACACACACACACACACACACACACACAAATAAATATATGCACATTTGTACACAGTTATCAGATTTTTATTGAAAGAAACCTGCAGGAACAACAAGCTATTGCTGTAACAAGCAGATGTCCTCACGTGCACCACGTGCACCAACACAAAACAGATGAACGCACATTTATTTTTCATGAAGAAGCCGTTACTGCACATTCAGTACTTTTGATAAATACACAAGTCCAAACTGTAACTTTTGTACATATTTTCAATGAAGAAGCATTTTCTGAATTAATAAATCTTCTAAAATAAAATGACTAAAGTTTTTCTGTCTTTCCAAAATGATTCACCTGAAAATTATTTTCTGGAACGTGACTGAAAGTCTACGATGCGGTCACGCACCCACACACAACCGTTGTGTTGGGCTGCAACATCTTGTTCCGCTGAACAAAACGCAAACATTGACAGGATTTATTTCCTACAACAATCAATGAGAACATGTTTATGGGTGTCAGATGTACAAACGGTCACGCTCCTCAGAGCTCCTGCACCTCCTGCACCTCCTACAGCTCCTTCACCTCCTCCAGCTCCTGCACCTCCTACAGCTCCTGCACCTCCTCCAGCTCCTGCA